TAGTGAACGACACTGACACCTGATATCAAGGATATGGAATAAATGCTCAAACGGCTTGCCATACACAGCGGCCCGGGTTCGACTCCACCTGTGGCCCTTTGCTGCATGTCTCTCCCTCTCTCTCCCCCTTTCAAACTTCACTTCAATGAATGAAAGAATGTTTAAAAGAAATGGACCAAACTACAGCGACATCACCCACTGGGTTGTGGACTCAACATGGCCATTTTAAAATCCAACATAGTATACAGGTTATTCTTCTCACATAAGTCACGGCTTCAAACAAGATAGGTCTTTTTTTTGATGATATTAGGTATTGCAAAACCCATTACTTTATATAGTCCACAAAGGCTAGTTTTTAGAGTCGGAAACATCAGAATATAATACCAGTATTACAAAATCAAAACATGCATTTTTCATATGAGTCTTTCTTTACTTTATGCATACAGTACCGTTCGTTTACTCCAAACACTGTATCTCCACAGAGCTAAATAATAACACTCCTACTTACCAACGCACGTACTGTTTGCAATACTGGAACTTCCAGAAGTCACATACAGTGTCCTTCGTGCACACAGCATATTTGTTCAGTATTTGTAGAAATGTCTTTAAAAATGATCTTACTTGTAATACCAAAAATTTTCAGGAAACTGGGCACAGGTTTCTAATTTATTGTGCTGGACTAATTTTGGATATTACTGTATGTATTTTTCTCTTCTAGAGAAGAACACTTTTCTCCAGAAAAGCTGGCTTGAATCTTCCTCTCAGCACATTAAAAACAAATAAAGACATAGAGTTTGCTCTCATCATACATACAGAGGCACAAAACAGACTGAGGGAAGATATATGTTTTATTAAAATGACCACACACAGCACTAAAGTATAGACACTGCATCAGGAGAACATCACTGGTCTAACTATTTACTTTGATTAATCATTTACATGTTTGTCCAGCCAGCTCATGTTTATCATATCCAGTTGACTAAAAAGCTTTACTGGCAAGTGGGAAGGTGCATCACACCATCAACACACTTCTGACGCAGGCCATATCTACCAACAAGTGTTCTTCGTCTTGTACACATGAACTCGATTTCATCATTATGGGCTGAATACAGCTTATCGTCATATATAAATCTGAAGGCAATATTATGTACGTTCATGGCGTCTCTGTCCACAGTGCAGGGTTCTGGAAGAGACAAAAGATGAGCAGCATTTTATTAATGGGGAATGACTGCAGCATACTGCGTATTTGATTATTGCTCGTGTTGCTGAATCTTCACAGAATGCAACATGGAAAATATAAAGGGAGTTGTAACTCACTGAGGCATCTCATCTGTCCAGTCCATTCACCATTGATGCAGGTTTTGTAAGGCTGACCCTCCATAGTGTAGAAATTCTCACAGATGTATTCAACCCTGTCATTATGTCTGTACTGGAACTGAAGAGATGTCTTGATGTCTCCATCTAGAAGTGATGGTGGTTTACCACAACCCAAAGGAGCTAAAAGAATTTAAACAACCACAAAAATACAAACAAATGAGTCATTTCCATAGAAGCCTGTATATGTATACACTGCCAGTTTATTAGGTACACCTAGCCAAAACTAATACAGTCTAATAAAACAGCTCTGCAGTCAGTCCCACCTTCATGACGGCTTTAATGTTCAGGTCTTTTCGGACCGCTTCTCAAAGGTATTAATTCAACTATATGATAAGGCTGAATAGATGTTAGTCATTTTTATGAAACTTGAAACGCTAATTATAACACTATACGTGTACTATATACTACAGTGCATGTTGGGAAACATCCAACAGTTGGGTCATGGATAATAATTTCTTATTTTTTCCCTTGATAAGCAGCAAGGGGACAGGAAAAGAATTGATTTACCTCCGCATGTTGGGAAGGGATCACTCCACTGTCCATCTGCTAAACATGTGACCACTGCTTTCCCTTGAAGAAAGTCTCCACGCCTCCTGCACTGAAAGGTTAACTTTTCTCCTTTTCTTAGTTGATTTACTCGTACACGTTCGATGAGGAGAACGCTGCCTGATACACCTGTGACTTTGCAATTTTCTGTATTGAAGAAGAGACACTTCTTTAATCATTAACATTTATACAGTATAAACAGTAGCATATTAGACTTGAAGCTACAGTTGTGAGCTCTTATGAAAATAGAGTTTTGAACATACTGAAAGAAGTACATGAGACAGATTGCTCTTCCTACTGTACTGCTTCTAATGGCATTTGTTAGAACTGACCACAATGCAGCAAAAACAACCAGTCAGAGCTGAAGAATTCTTAACGCAACTGTCAGTCATGTCAATCCCAGCTCGCAAACTGTGGTCAAACAGTCAAACTAGGCAGCGCTGACTATGAATCAAGATTCTGTTACTGCATTGCCTCTTTCTCACCTCAGATAATTTCCTAACA